CTTTTTGTTTTTTTTTAACTTTTTATTTGTGTCACATCTTTTTAATTTAATACTCCCACCTGTTTTATCTTTGTCTCTTTTATGTGAAATGTGTAGAATAAGCTTCAGAATTTGGCTGGGCAGCATTCGGATATACTCGAAACTTTGACTCCACAAGTTAGGAAGCGTGTGGATGTTTTAAGAGAGCTTCAGGTGCGTTTATTTATCGCTGAGATGTTCTGGAATTTATACTTGCTTCTTCTTTTTCAAAGAAGTTGCATTTGGCATAGGGATGCAATAAGAAAATTAAATAATTCTATTTATTGGTAGTTTTGTGGGTCCTATCCTGAGTTAAAGTTGCTTCATGATTCAATTCACAGTTCGAATTGTAATGTCTAGGTTGATAGATTTCACGAAGAATGTGATTTAGTGATGTTGGTAGGTTTTTTTGAGGCAACTATTGTCTGAAAACTAATGTTGTGTTTTTGAAAGTAGAGTCGAAACCATGATTTTATGTTTATGGGTTTTGGGTGTAAGAAAATGCAGCTTACTGGGTTTTGGATAAATTACTATGCATACTAAGTGTATTTTTTTTAATACAAATAGACCCCCCACCACCACAACAACAACAACATAAAAATCGCTTGGCCTCCTTTCTCTCTGTTTACTCATGTTGGACTTTCTAACTTATTGCCTATGTCTTTACCATGGGAACAAGTGACATACTGCTTGTTGAATCAGCCAAGGAAAGAGAAAAGAACAATGGGATGATGGCTTAATTCCGTTCTTGAAGCATAAGAAATCCAAAGGTGTTTCCACTGCGGGATAATGCATTATCAATCTAGTTCCAAATAGTATCTGACAAATACATTAAGACAGCACCATGGATATCTATTGTACTTTTGTGTACCATCTTGGTACTTATTCAATGAAACCTTTACCTTATACAAAACAAAAAGCACCTTGGATATCTATCTGATTATAGAGTCGTTCTTTCACTAGCCATAGTTTAGGTCTTTAAAGGATTGAGTATTTCAAAAAGGGGACACTCCACAATATAATATAATACCAGGCTGTTAGGGATGTCCGTATGACAGATTACAATGAAGAATATGGTGTGCACTGTGCTACTAGTCATGCATGATTTTTCTATTACATTTAAATTGAAGCAAGACACAGTGACATGATGAATATACCAATGTTTTTGATGATTATGCCCTGCTACAGCTGCTTGTTTTTATTTACATAACTTGGTGTAAGTTGTGCCCATCAAGAAAGACATGCTACTTGCATGACAAATATGCTATACTTGTGACGACCTCGCCCACGTATTCCGCAAGGCCTAATTTCTTTGCCAGTAATGCTTAACTTGGAGCAATATGCTCGCAGAGGAGCAATTTCTTAATTTTATGATTGATTGAGGGATCCATTCTCATTTTCTTCGGTCGGGAAATTTTTTGATGGTGCTTTAGCTTTTTTACTTTATGCTGGCGTACTAATATGCTTGTGTGAATTCCAATTGCTCCTCCTGTAAATGGAGGAAAAAGGCTTAACATGATTTTCTAAATATAGAGCCAACATGATGAGCTGGAATCACAGTTTTTCGAGGAGAGGTCTGCGCTGGAAGCTAAATACCAGAAGCTGTATGCACCTTTATATACAAAGGTGAGACAAATAATTCCAAGCCATTCCATGTTGCAATTGAAATTAGCTCCCCCACCCCCCCCCAAAAAAAAAAAAAAAGAAAGAAAGAAAGAGAGGAAATGAGATATGGTTTTGTTATCCTTCCGTGTTTTATGATCTTGTGGATGTGTTGCAGAGATATGAAATAGTAAATGGGGTTGTCGAAGTGGAGGGTGTTAATGAAGCCCTGATGAACCAGGGAGAGGATAAAGAGGCTGAAAATGGTAAAGCTTATTCATTGGATATTTTCTTTCATCCATGCATTTTTTTTTGACGAGGATCATCCATCCATGCAGATTGATCTTAACATGTGCTTTAATTTTTCATGGTGTTACATTTTGGTGCAGAGAAAGGTGTTCCCAACTTCTGGCTGACTGCAATGAAGACTAATGAAATATTGGCAGAGGAGGTAAATAACAAATGTGATAAATATTTCTTGGTTTAAAATACCGATTGTTTAACCAAGTGCAAATGATGGTGCTGTAGATCTCAGAGCGTGATGAGGAAGCTTTAAAGTACCTCAAGGATATCAAGTGGTGCAAGATTGATGATCGAAAGGGTTTTAAGCTTGAGTTCTTCTTTGATACAAACCCTTTCTTCACGAATTCTGTCTTGACTAAAACCTATCACATGATTGATGATGATGATCCTATATTGGAGAAGGCCATAGGGTAAGTTTTTGACTTATACAGTATAAGTTTTGGTTTTACATACTGTGATCTTAATTTTTGTTTATTTACTTGATGTGGGATGTCTTGTAGGACCAAGATTGATTGGTGTCCTGGTAAATGCTTGACGCAAAAGATCCTAAAAAAGAAGCCAAAGAAGGGGTCAAAAAATGCTAAACCCATAATCAAGACTGAGAACTGCGAGAGCTTTTTCAATTTCTTTAAGCCACCACAAGTACCTGAAGATGATGATGATGATGACATAGATGAAGATGCTGTAGGTTCAACAACTTTTATTTTGTTCATTTACGCTGTAATTCAGAATGTTTTGTGATCTTGTTTGGTGACTTTGTCTAACATATCTTGACAGGCTGAAGAACTTCAGAATCTAATGGAACAAGATTACGATATTGGGTCAGTTGCAGCTTTCCTCATAGCTTTGGGATTCCTTTTGAATTGATGTCTGGATTTGCTTTGAACTTGGTCCCAACAGCTTCTACATCTTCTATGAATTGAAAGAGTGAAACTGATGTTTCTTTTGGGGCTTCCATGTTTGCAGCTCGACAATTCGGGACAAAATCATCCCCCATGCTGTGTCATGGTTTACTGGTGAGGCTGCTGAAGCGGATGAATTTGAAGATATTGAAGATGCTACTGCTGATGATGATGATGAAGATGAGGACGAAGAAGATGAAGAAGATGAGGATGATGAAGAAGAGGAGAAGAGCAAAAAGAAGGTAAAATTTGTTTTGGCCTGCTTCTACAAAGTGATAATATTATTTCCCTTATTTTTCTGCTTATCTTTTTCTTGTATCTGTCCATATGATTTATTCGATTGTCCTTGTAGTCTTCAGCACTAAAGGTGGAATGAGCAGCTATGATGGCAGTTATTTTAGGTGATTTCGTAAATCGCCTTCCATTTTCTTTAGTGCGTGACTTTGTATTTATTTGATAAAAATGTAGAAGAGGTCGAAAGCACAAGTTGGAGAAGGTCAGCAGGGGGAACGTCCTCCAGAGTGCAAGCAGCAGTAGTTTGTTTTTTTGCCCTTAGCAGCTGATGGAACTCCTACCGTGCCATTGGTATTTAATTTTGCGTTGATCATGTTAGTATGTCTGCTCATTATTTTTTTTGTTTATTCATTTTCCGGTCTTCCGTATGTAAAATCTAGTGGGGTGTACTTGGGTTTAGTTTTTGCTTTTCATGAAAATTTCACATTTATATCCTGACCTTATCTGCCTGTCCTCCCTCGCCTCTTCCTCCCTTTTCAAGCTTTCTCTGTGGTCGTTTCAAAATGTGTTTCAGTTACAACCTACACTATTGCAAAAATTGGAGTAGTACAAGATGCATTGAAATTTGTTTATTCTGCAATGCATGTAAAGATATGTTTTCATATCCGTACACATTTTAACCACGCTTAAGAGATGCACGTTCTATTTCCATTTTCTTCCCTGTGCTGCCAAGGCGTAAGTTTTTGTAAGTTGACTAAAAGGTCAGTGTTGTGTGTTTTCGTTTTATCTGACGTTGCTCCCTCATTGTTAACGTGACTTTTGGTTTCATTTCATCCATCAAAGAACTGAACGAGAACTTGGCTGAAAATGTTGCGATAGGAGACGCCTTTACCAAAACGAAGCCCAACATTGAAACCGAAAGTATCCCATCAGCAGAACACAAAAAATACAAACAGAAAACGTAAGATGGAGGAATTTGCCTACTCTTTAAAACTTGAACGTTTCTTGTTAAATGAAATAGCATAAAGCTATAATTAAATTCAAGTGACACAATAGGGGAATGATAATGGTTAAAACTCACGGGCTTCTGCTTTTCTTACTACTACCCCACAGATTCACGTATAAAAATAAGTTATGCTCAGGAAAAAAACCGTAATATCAAAATTATGTCTTATATTTTGTACTGTATTGGGTTCTTCAAGTGACAAACTTTTCCTTTTTTTTTTGTTTCCTAGCAACAAGCAAATCGATGTGTTACTTTGGACTCTGTAAATAATAAAAAAAATAGTATAGATGTATAATATTAAGTAAATCGATGTGTTTTGAGTTTAGACTTTGTAAAGTGTAAATAATAATAATAAATAGTATAATAGTAAGTGTTAACAACAATATAAAAAGAGTTTTAAAAGGTAAGGAATCGGATTTATACTGAAAAGCCCCAATTTATTCTATTCCATTGAAGTGAGGACCAAAATGTCAAAAGCCTAATTGTGGTAGAATGTCAAAGCGAAGGATAGAAGAAAGTCAAGTTTAAACAGGTAATAAGATGGGTTTATGCTAAATTCCCGAAGCCTAATTGTTAGACAATGTTGATTTATTTAAAACAAATGATTCACCACTTTTGCTTATTGTGGTTCATTCAACTAATTTTTGAAATCAAACTAACATATGAATTATTGTAAAATCTTTATAAAATACACACGACAAAAGATGAGTATGGTAACTAGATTATTGCCGAAAAAGGATCCCCATTATCCTTTTCGAATTAAAACCGACTCTAAAGCCTTCCTAATATTTTAGGACTACTTACTTATCCTTTTCCAACTTAAAAAAGGTTTCCTTATGCTGCCCTGCACCCGTTTTAAAAATTTATAATATAGCACTAGTAAAACTTCCCATGCAGTAATCACCCTGTTCAAACTTAAACTTTTCATCATTGTAATGGATTATGCACCAGTAGTGAATGATACTTGTTATGCCTACGAAGATGAGAGTCTCGACATAAGCTGCGTTGAACCAACACGTTACGACCAGTTCTTCATCAAGATTGAAGTTGAATTTCGGAAGTTGCCTGAACAAGACCAAGATAATGATGAACCAGATTTCTCCCGCTTAGAAATCACAAGAAAAACAGAAATATTTCTGGAGCGATGTAATCGAATGCCATACAACAACTTATCGTTGCACAGCGTTACAAGAATGTTGGATATAATGGGAGTGCAGGTATATGATCATGAATATATGTTTTATCGTATGCTGTTATGTGCGGATAAAATTGTCAATGAACCCCACAACAGGAACAAGAAAATACTCCCAATGAAGGTTTTTATTACTATCGCTGTCAATTACTCTTTAGAAGAACCTGACGATTCCTTTGTTTTGATTCACACGAATACTGTGCAATTCAAAGCAATTCCAGCTGGGAATAAATATGTTGAGGGTTTAGAGAAGGTGAGAATAGAAGAAACAGAGTTGGGAAGGGAATGTGTGATATGCATGGAAAAGATGGAGGTTGGAAGTGAAGCAAGAAAAATGCCCTGTTCTCATGTGTACCATGGAAACTGTATAATGAACTGGTTAGTTGTGAAGAGGGTTTGTCCACTTTGCCGGTTTGTGTTGCCTTCTCGGATGCGAATTCAGAATTTAGAGTAGGTGAGTTTAGAACGAGTGTGATCATCAATACTATATTATTTTTTAAATATATATATGCATAGTTTGAGCAAAAAGTAATGATCAGTTTAAATCATATACCCGCAGTTCTTGATTTTGTTTGAGAAATTGTATGATTTTTTGGTCCTTTCGTGCATCCTAGTACTATTAGATCTATTGCAAATTGTGGAAAACTCTTTGTATCTATGATCAACCATCGATCAGCAAAGTTCGAAGATTTATATTGTTAATTGTCATTAATTAAGATAATTTACTTATATTGATTAAACTCTCCAATGTTGGGTTATCGATTTGCAAATCCAAAGTAATTAAACTTCAATATCCCACAAAAAGGAAAAAAGAACAGCATTGCCTGAAACCTTAATTAGACTTATAACAAATTTTATTTTGTGAAAGGATCATACGGGGTTCTTTAGGGGAATCTTAGTAGCTCAGTTGGTTGGTTACCTGAACTTTTACCTTGTTACCAAGGGTTTGATTCCCCACCTTGTAATCCGCTCTTCCATTCACCCCCTCCCCCAAACAAAAAAAAAGAAGGGGGGGGGGGGGGGGGGGAGGGGGGCTTCGGTGTTATGCAATGGAATTAGGAGAAAGACAAATAAAATTGTTATTGTGATTATGTTGCTACATAGTGAACAAGCCCAGGGCTTTGTTTCAATGATAATAGTGCAATATGTGATGTATGATTTTATGACCACTAACAAATAAGCCTGCATTGAGCACCACATGTTTGATAATTCTGAAGAAAACTGCTGTGTGCTCTTTCAAGTCCTTTTATTGATGCACTCTTTTGGCTCCATAAAACTTGTGGGTTTGTCCAACTTATGTTCAGTGCCTCTGCTTTTGTTAAAGTCCGATGCATTCACTAGTTAAGATATTTCTACATCTTTCTGCACATTGAATTCTCCAGAAACCAGGAAAAAGAATATGGTAGTAGTAATTTTATTCAGTTTGCGTCTATAATAATTTGGAACCTAAAAACTCCCATATTGAGAAGCATTCCAGGATATACTGAATGTAGCATTTTGATTTCTTGAATTGGTCCCTACACTCAGTGGCGGAGTCAGGATTTTCATTAAGGAGGTCAAAATATTAAAAAATAAACTCACGAAGAAGCCAAAGTGTGTCAATATGTAGCATATATACATAGTTTTAAAACATTTACCTAGCTACACAATATAATTTTTTGACGAAGAAATGTCGTTTGACACCCCTTGAGTACATGTGGGTCCGCCACTGCCTGCACTAACTGTTATCCAGATTTGTAAAGCCATACAACCCTTGAATTCCCTCAAATGCAAAACAAACAGTTACTTATCTAATTCACAGACGAGTTTAGGTTGTGTGCATGTAACACACAATCATATCACTGATGGTAAAAATGATAACTAACTCCACTAATAGTGTAAAAACTTCTGTCTGAATGCTATATTGCTATTTTAGTGGATTATGATTAAATTTCAAACCGTTCGACAAGGTATGGGTCGGATAAAATTTGTACACCCATGTAATTAGTTGTTTTTCATTCCTTCAATCAATTGCAAGAATCAAGGAACGAACTTATAGAGCTCATGTTGACTGTTGTTGTGAAGTTTCATGGTATAGTCATACCTCTATACAACAAAATCTCTCTATAACAACCATTCACTATAAAAATCAAGTTTTTCTCGGAATTGATTTTTATGTTATGTTATAATATATGTCCTGTATAACACCACTTCACTATAGTAACCAAAAAATATCTGAACAAACGAGACTGTTATAAAGAGGTGTGAGCAACTTGTGAGAAACAAACACAATTTATTCAAGTATGCATGTCACGGTGGCAGATGTAGTGTTTGAGCTATACGGCTAAAACCAATATTTTTTATACGGAACAAAAATATATAAGTGAAAAACAACGAAATCTCAATAAAGATTAGATTAAGAAATTATAATTTCAAGAGTAGTGTGAGTTCATTGCTACAACTTTAAAGGTCGAAACCATCAAGATCAAATTTTGAATCAGCCTCTAAGTATGCATGTGCATACATGGTTTATTAATAACACAATATTAATCCTAAGAAAATCTATGTTGGTTGTTTCAATTGATCTGCGCTGTTTTCATGCTCCAAGCAGTTAAATTTGAGATCTCAACATTCTCTGAACCATTGTTGAAGACATACAAATGGCTCCCACCATCCACTGCTAAATTAGTTGGGTAAACCCTTGCTGTAATGCAAGCTTTTCCCTCTCCACCAAAGCTCTCCACTATTGAGTGATCAATCTACACAAAAACAAAACACAATATAAATAATATTCTCATGACATGTCCATTATATTTTGGGTGTATATATGTATTTGATATTACATTAGTCATTTAATATTTTTTGGAAAATGACTTATTTGTTGGAAAATGTTATCCAATGTTTAGTTTGAATAATATTTGTGAAATAGAGAGTGTTTCGATAAACTTTTGAATATTAATTAATGTCTGGGCGTGATTAAGAAAAATAATTGTGAAACAAAATAATTTCTGCCCAAAAGTATAATAAGGTAGTTTTCCTAGATCTTTTGGTGGAAATTATGTTTTCGAGCACTTTTTCCTGACAATCAAACATCAAAAGATAGACTTTTTTTTATCGTACCAAAGTCCTTAGCGACAATTTTTCTTGAACAGGATCCACATTCAAGAAGGCTCCATAAGTAGTTTTGTCATAATCAGTTGAAGGCAAGTGTAAGGAAGACCTACACAACGTAGAAAAATGAAAGTTTAATTAAGGAAAAATATAGGCATTACAATTAGACGAGGAGAAAAATAAAAAGAGAGATTAAATTAAATATACCTGCTCTGGTCACTACACATGAGCACTATAAAATTGTTGTTATTTCCTTTGAAAATTCTGAAGAAAACTGCAGTATATTCTTGCATGTCCTTAGATGCCAAGACAAGCAATCCAAATGGTCCAATCCCACCTTTTACTGATGCACCTTTTATGCTACAAACTTGCTGTGGATTTGTCCAATTTGCTTCCCATATCTCTGCTTTTTCCAACGTTTTCGCTGCGAAAGAAATTTCTACATCTGCCTGTAAACAGTATAATAATTATAATTAGTTAATAACAGAAGGAAGGCATGGTTTTAACTTTTATCATTATTATATGCTGATAAATCGTAGGTTTAGCTCAATGGATTAAGTTTTAGCATTAACTGTGGGTAAGATATTTATACAGTCAAATATACAGTCAATGGATTAAATGTAATTATAGCTAAATCCGTATGATACATAATTGTTAGGATTAACTCATGTACACTGGGATGTAGAAAATTTCTATAACTACGCATTTTAACTTCTTGTAGTCAGATTTAAAGGTGGCGGGGTGCAACAATTTCCTTTAATGTACTTGTAATAACTAATATAGATTTTGTACATAAATATATGATAATCTTACCAACCTAGCGGGTGGATTCGCCCCGGTTGTAGTGGGTAACCTCCTCTATTTTTCAGGTAACTAATCCAGCTTTTATGAACAACTTTTATTTATTTTATAGGTTACTTGATGCGTAAAAGTTCTTTTGTATTGTAAGTTAAACTTAAATCAGAAATATGATACATAAAAGATAATAACAAACCAATTATAATAGGTTAAAAAAGCATCTCGATGCACAAAACATCTTGTATTCATACAGGGTACGGCAAAGTGCCGTACGTTTAGAGGTATATACAATATAGACAATCTATCTTAATACAATCATTAGTTATTGCTGGTTAAATAATGTGAAAAATATTACGTCAATGTATACAACTTAAAAAAATTAAATTACCTGTGTAGCTGTGACGCCGGATATTTCACGTACTGATCCAGCCATAAGCGCAGTAGTACCTTCAACAACTGGATTATTAATTCGAAGCTTTTCAATTTCGACTATTGGCCATTGCAACAGCTGATTTCCAGATTTCTGAAGCCAAATTCTTCTAGGAATTCCTTGAAGACCAGCCCAACCTCTAATACTATTTATATCAACAATATTTACTGCTTCACTAACCCATCCAAATAAAATTCTCCTATTAGTAGCACTATCAAAAAATGTTTTTGAAGCATAATACTTTCCATAATCATATCTAAATCCTAATCCAATATCCAAGGATTCATTATCCGGGACAAAAATATCCTTATTTGGATTATATATTCCAATTGTATAGTAATCAGAATTTGCTACACTTACTTTGAATACATGTTTTACATTTGGACCCATAATTGAAGTGTCTAAACCAATTTGACTAATTGTTGAAACTGGGAAAAAATCAGGACATTCCCACATTCCAGAATTGTTTAAAAAATGCAAAGGTTGTTCAGTTTGAATCCAATCAATAAAATTCTTGCTTTTGTACAATAAACCAATTCCTGTGTTATTTTTTTTATTTCCAACTACCATTCTCCAATTACCATCTGTAGGATTTACCCAAGCAGTAGTTGGGTCTCTGAAATTTTGACCATCAATTTTATTCACTGAATTAGGTGTTATTAGTGGATTATAAGGTGATTTTACCCATTCTATAAGGTAAGGGTCCAATAAATTTTTGGGCACGGCTAGATTTTGAACTTGGATATCGGAGAAGTCTACTCCGGTATAGAGAATTGCCGGTTTTCCGCCGGAGAGAATTGTTGTAGAACCTGAAAATAATTACATCAATTAAGCCTCAATTCCAAATAGGTCCAAGTCAACTATATAAATCCTGACCAATCATGCTGCTTCATTTTTCTTAAAATAATAATAATAATAATAATAATAATAGGAGAACGCTATATTTTATACTGGCATATAAATCTTTAATAAGAGAAAATAATTTCTAAAAACCTGAAAAACAGCCTTTAAAATCATAAGGCTCTGATCGGAGTAGTGCCGGCGGCTGAGGTGTCCAGTTGATAAGATCAGTTGATGTAGAATGTCCCCAGACTATGTTTCCGGATTGTGCATCGTAAGGATTGTATTGGTAGAAG